GCCCAGGAATTTTCATGTTCTGCAACGATTCCCCTTTGGTAATCGTCTCAGAAGAACAAAAACAAAAACAAAAAAAAAAACCCGAAACCTAGTTGCCATCGAGTGAGCTTTGACTCCAACTCATGGCAACTCCGTGAATTTCAGAGAGAATGGCACTCTACAGACGTCTCAGTGGCTGGCATTTGGAAGTAGATTGCCAGACCTTTCTTTGGAAATACCTCTGGGTGGACCTAAGCTCTTTGTACCACACAGAGGTTCCAATGAGCTTACAGTGACCTTTTTTCTTCCTTCACTCATTGCTACCAAGTCAATTCTGACTCATCGTGACCCTATAATGCAGGGTAAACCTGTCATTTCTGACTCATCGTGACCCTATAATGCAAGGTAAACCTTTCTAAGATTGTAACTCTTTATGGGAGTAGAAAGTCTCACCTTTCTCCCTTTGAATGGCTGGTGGTTTCAATTGGCTGACTTTGTGGTTAGCAACTGTGGTAGTTACATAATCTGGTGCCAACTTGAGACTAATAAGAGTGAAGGGGTGGATTTTAGCCTGTCAATCAGGTCGCAGCTTGATGACCTTATGCGGAGGCGCTATGGAGATAAATAGCTCACTGGAGGTGGAACACACTCACTCCCTTGGAGACATTCCTGTTGACGAGCCACATGGAGCTATGCTGATGGAAGCCAGAGCCTTGGAGCTGGAGGAGCCACGTGGAGACCCATGCTAGCACTCAGATGCTTCCACCGCCACTGGATCCACAAGACTTTCCACCCACTGGTCTGTGATCTTCCTGCACACAGCGTTATTGCATGTGTTGCGTGACTCTGAAGAGGACTCTACAGACTGGTACTGGACATATAGGCTAGTATCAGACTTATGGTCTTGATCTGGACTGGGCTGGGATATTTTCTTAATGTACAATTACTCTATTTAAAGTTCTTTCCTATAAACATGCGTATCTATGAGTTTGTTTCTCTAATCTACGCAGATCAACACAGCACCCAATGAGAAACCACTATGCCACCAGGACTCATTTTCTTCTGTAGTATTGTTGCATTTTCCAAGTTTCTATATAGTAACCACACACACACACACACACAGAGGTTTTATAATTCAGAAAACACATATATAAGAAATAGAGGAGAATAGAGAAATAATAATTTTTAAAGTGAATTAAGCTGAGAGTAAAACAATGTGCTAACTACCAACCTAGAGATAGCTTAGATTTACGAGGTAACATTTATTTATATTCAAAGCCAATTCTTTCTTATGACTCTTGGATGGTTTCCAGGGAACAAACACGTTGTTATTAAAATTGACTGATTAATGAACATAAAACGAGTAGCTTATGGTGAAATGATCCCTATCTTTGATAGTCAAAGATCAAACACAAGACAAAAGCCAGCTAAAGTGATCATTTTCCCCCCTCAACTTTGCAATCAACTTACAACCTAAGCCTGTTTTCACAGTGAAGAAAGTTGTTAAATTTCTGACATGCCCTGCGGTGTAACCTTTGGTTACAAAGCCACTCCAGAAGGCCAGGGCTCTTGCTTTCTTACTTAGAATTAGCTTGAATTAAAAATGAATCCCTTTGTTTTCCCCGGAGCTCCTCAAAGATGTGGTTCAACACTAATTGTGTTAACTGTGGCCTCTCCAGAAACACACTCATTTGTTGACTTGGATTAGAAGCTTGCAAGCTCTAACAAGGGCAGACTGTCTCCGCGGACAGTTACTGCTCCTGCCCCGACTCTTCCTGCTTTTCTTCCTGATAACTCCAAAGGACGACCCCGGGGATGTGAAACACGCTTCCAAGATAGAGATCATAGTAGATGCGGAAAAATAAATAAATAAAGGGGGTGCTGGTGTTTAAGAATAATTTACATTGTGAATCCTCAATTAAAACCTAACACCAGTATCTCCTAGCATCACCAAAGCTGGTAAGGAGTTCAGGAGTTCGACTGACTGTCCTTCCAGGGTGGAAACGATGCATCATCACAGGCTCCAGGGAAATCTAGTCACTGAAGACTTACGGTCAGCAGACCATGGAAAGGGGCCAATAATTCATTTCTGGGGGTTTTCTTTAGTGCACAGATACTCAGAACACACGAGAAAGCTAAGCATGATTGTTGAGAAGAATCCTTGCAGTTAGTGATTCAAAAAAGCACAGCATGAGGTTAATCTCTTTCCAAGAATATGATCTTTTTAATTTCTGACACTCTCAGACTGGAGAAAAATGCGGCTTTCTACTCCTGCGAAGAGTTTCCGTTCTGGACATCTCGGAGGCCGTTCACCCTGGCCCATAGCATCTCCATGAGTTGGAGGTGACGCGACGGCGGTGAGGTTTTTGGTTTTTCTTTGTCTACTTTCAGAGTTAGATTTATGTAAAGAAGTCAGAACACCTACTGTGTGTTCCTGTGTGCCAGGTATCCATCAGAAGTTTCCGATACAAAAATGATAATGATCTGACTTTTGCCCTGAAGTTTAATGCCTACCGGAGGGTCAGACATAAAATTGGATGCAATGTGATTATTTATATAATCATTGGAATGATGGGAGCCTGGTTGTGTCTGGGGAATCAAGGAGGGCTTCTCAGAGATTCTGTAAATTGAGGTGGCTCTTGACGAGTGTGCTTAGGATTCATTCAGAAACCAAGAGCAAGGTCATTATCAGACATGGGAACAGCATGCACCGACACACTGGAGCCTGGGGCCTGCTAGGGCACACTCTGTTGAGAATACCTGGAGGGAGACCAAGTTCAAATGAAGGCCAGATGGCAAAGTAGAGGAAGACAAGTCAGACTGTGAGGTCCATACCAAGTTTCCGGATATAGTAAATTCCACAATAAAAAGGGTCATGATCCCTTCATGATGTGGCAGCATCAGACACCCCCCTCCCGAGATTACAGAGAAGCCATTCAGTGAGGAATTCTGCCACACATTGGGGGTGCTGGGCACCTAGAGAGGCGCCATCTCTCAGATGAGACCTCTATGGGTTAGCTCATGCCACAGACCCACCCAGAGTTGGTGAGGTCTGGGACTGACGCAATAGTAGCAGAAGGCGGGAGGAGGAGATCACAATGAACATTTATGATAGCTGTCGGCTAACATCTGAGACTGCGCCAGGCACCGACCGTTCTTCTCAGAACGTTCATTTTCTCAAAACCAGAATCTGGTGTGGACTGAACGTGGAGGGCGAGCCAATGTCAGAATGGACATTTCTGGCTTGCGTTATGAGGTGGAATGTGAAGCCATTAATTGAAATATTGATCCCGGGAGAAGAAGAAGGAAAAAAATCCATTGTAAGTGGAGTATGGAAGGTGGATAGTCTCTTATGCATACTAATTCTGAGAGGTGCTTGGCACATACAAATCAAGATCATCAGACTGTTGGGATTAAGAGAGTGGCCGAGAACAGGCTAGAAGCAGGCTAAATAAAACCACTCTCCAGTTTGTAAAGCGTAAGCCAACCGTCACGTCGTCACACAGTCCAACACTCTCCAGAACCGTAGGATGGCTGGCAGTAATTCCATTACAGAGACACCCGGTGTTTATCCTAAAATGACCCTCAAATGTCTTATTGCCCCTTAACTTGAAAATGCACACTTCAGATCCATATATCAAATGTCTGAAATGAGCAGCTCCCTGGAAAGCAACATGCAAAATAGAAGAAAATATTTCATCCCTGAATCAAGAGGCTAGACAAATGTTGGGAGATCAGAATTAGACAGTTCTAGAGACTGGCTCAGCAAAGCTTTCTGTGCACTGCTTCTTTAGTCTAGGTTAACACACAAAAGACAGGCTGTTTCCCAGGACTGGCAGTTCTATTGAGAAATATAACTGTGCCCTCTGGGGGAAATCAGAAAGGCCCTGAGATCACTCCCCACTCTCCTAGGAGGAAAGGGTTAGGAAGAATTTCTCCACAAGCCAAAGGAAAGAAGTAATTAAAAGACAGTGCCCTATTTTACAAGATTCCTTCTAGGAAGTCATTGTGGAAATTCAGGCCAGATGTGCTCCTTCCTTTCCAGTCGCAGAGGAATTAGGTAATGACGTATAATGGACACGGGCCGTTCGGGTCACAGCACTTGAGGTTGGTAAATCTTTTAAATGGGTGGACCTAACACTTTCGAGTCCACGTATTCATTATGAAAATGGATCACCAGGCAATCAACTAACTGTTCAAGTCAAACACAGATGGCCTTTGAGTTCACTGGTCTTTCATTTAGACTGGAGATTTTTTTGTGGATTGGGCTCTGTTCACAGATGATTCAAGGTCATTTCCAAATTTTCCATCTTCGTTTATTGTTAGTTGGTTCTGACGCAGGGCAAGTGCACGTACAACTGAGCAGCAGTCCGGCACCATGGCAAGGGCTGTAGCAATACTCGGTTGGGTTGCACACAGTTTTCACTGACTAGCTTTTGGAAGCAGATGGCCAGCGCTTTGCTGAAACTTACCCACCATGGGTGAGACCCCCACAGAATTAGAAAAAGCAGTTGTTTCCAGCACCATAGAAAGTAATTTTATTATCAGCACTAATGGGATCACTAATGCCATTAGTGCTGAGAATAGTAAAAGCAGCCTCCTATATATTTTTGCTGCTGTTCATGGGTGGTGACCACGTTATAAGGGTTCTCTATGAACTACTATTCTATTAATCTTTCCATCTGCTGGTTGAAGCGACCCAGGGATCATCCTCAGCTCAAAGACGAGGACAGGGATTCGAGAGAGCAGGCATTCTGCCCAGTTTCACGTAGGCATTGCCAGACAGTTGTCGCCATCCCTGACTAGTGGGGAACATGCTGCAGGAAGTGTTGCTATCTCAACCTCTGAGGCAAAGATTCATGGAGCTACTCACAAAATCGCAACAGATTTTTCCACTGAGAAGTGGTGTCTGCAATCTTATCATTCAGACTCCTCAAAGAAACTATCGATGCTTATGCAAAAAGTTATGTTAGCAGGGGATTCATGTCGCAATAATGTAGAAAAAACAGATAAATGAATACCTTGAAATCACGTTTTCCCAGCTTTGAAGGTGAGCCTCACTGCCAACATGAGAGAGCTGCTCCGTTGTTTTCTGGGAAGAAAACCCAAAAGGAAGCAATTTCAAAATGATGAACTTGTACAATGGATTACAATACTAATACTGTAACTAATACAACACAGTACAATACAACTAATACAATACAATACTAATACAACACAACTAATACTAAACAATACAATATAATACAACTAACACAAGACAAGACTAATAACTAAGCATTACTGTTTATTCATTAATGCCATGGTCAACAAGGAAAGCCACTAGTGATTGCTTAACTGACATTTAGTATCTTACTAATATACATATGAGTGTTACAAAACAAAAGCTAAAACATGCTCTTAAAGCATACATACACACACCTACTTATGATCCCAAATATTATGGATGTAGGAAAATAAACACGATGGCATTGACAGCAAGTGCTCTCAATGATTAATACTTCATTCCTCTCATTTGTTCTTCCTCATTGCCTCAACTCATCTTTTTTATCAACACTGACACAGCTGTGTATCTAAATACCAACCATCACAGCTCAGTCACTGAGGTTTGCATCAGTACTGCAATCACACACCTGATTATGAGCAATCCCCTTCGACTGTATAGGTACCATGGATTCACGCAAGATCAGTCACACGCCTCAGTAAGAAGAGGGTCTTGTTTGTTTGAAGCCATAACAAAAACCGTAGACTCCTGTGGTAACTCTTACAACAATTTTAGCTGCACCATATCTTCATCCAGAAATATGCTGTGTTTGAGATGAACTGTGTTATGAGTTAGGAGTTGAATCGTGTCTTTCCAAAGATATGTAGAAAACATAGCATCTGGTGCCTGAGAATGGGACCTTGTTTGGCAATGGGGTTTGGGGAAATGTCATAAGCTACCCGAGGTCATACAGTAAGCAGGGTGGATCCTAGTCCAATGTGACTAGGGTGTCCTTATGAAAAAGGAAGAGAGACACAGAGGAAGGTGGCCACGTGACAATGGTGGCCGGGACTGAAGTGGCAAGGAGCACCTTGATTCCGGCTGTCAGCAGGTGTGCTCCCTCGGAGGCTCAGCATCAACACGGATTTCAGACTTCCTGGCTCCAGAAGAGTAAGTAACCCTGCCTTTCCGCTCCTGTGTGCCAACCACTTGGTAGTTCCTGGTTACAGCCATCGTGGAGAACTACTACACGAGGTTTCCCTGCCTATTTTTAAGATGAAGCAAAATCTCCTATAAAGAGCACTTTTCCCCAGAGGAAGAAAGTGTGATTCAAGTTTGAGAAACGCAATCTCAAACGGAAAATTCCATTTTTGTACAATAGTGGATCTAGGACGGCATTGTACAGTATGCTAGGTGGAAGTAAAAAGCATGGGTAAAAATAACCCAGTAAGCTAGCCTAAATTGTCTTTGGCAAAAGAGTCAGGGAGATTAACTAATGTTTTTTACTTGTATTCGTGTTTGTTTGTTTGTTTGTTTTGGGGGGGAAGGGGTGTTGAGGAGCAGAGGGATAAAGCTTAAAAGGTGAAAAAGATAACTTTTCCTAGGAAGAAATGAAGTGCAATGCTATGCTAAAAAGACCCAAACCAGAAAACTAAGCTCACTGCCATAGAGTTGTTTCTGACTTAGAGAGACCCATAGGATAGGGGAGAACTAGCCCTGTGGGTTTCCAACACCATAGCTCTTCTTCTCCAGAAAAAGGCAGAAGGCAATTAGTAAATTCCACAATAAAAAGGGTCATGATCCCTTCATGATGTGGCAGCATCAGACACCCCAAACACCATCCACCCCTAGGAAGCCCTGCCCACAGCCACCTAAGAGTCTCTTGGACACAAGCTCCGAGAGATCCGTGCAGAAGAAGGGAAGAGAGGGTTACATATCAGGCTGGAGGATGACAAAGATCACATCTGCCCAGCGTGTGCTCTCAAAGAAAACAATAGAAATTCTCCACTCTTTGCCTTTTGCAAAACAACAACAACAACAACAACAAACTCTTCCCCGTGAATCCAGAAGCACTAGCCGTGACAGCTCAGGCTTACTGTGGGTTCAATCTGCCCGTTTCCATACCAGTCTGAAAAACTGTTACGTATAAAATCAGGAAAAGGTGCGTTTCAAGCCTTAAACACCCAACCGAATCCAACCCAAGTATGTGGAATAGCCCCTGTTCAAAAGTGGAGAAATGACTATGCTTTGTAGCTGACTCTGATGGTGTGAGAAACGCTGTGTAATCTCTTTAACAAACGTTTCTGGATAAACCACTGCGAAGCTAGCAAGAGGGTACAGAGGCAACGCAGCACGTTCAGGAAACCAAGCCATCAAGAAAACCCAGCACAGAGGGACACGAGTGAAGATCGAACTCAAACCCGAATCACTGCCATGGAGTCTATGCCGACTCCTAGCAACCGTTTATTGGGACAGGTGCAACCGCCCCCGTGAGTCTCCAAGACTCACTCTCTACAGGAGTGGAAAGTCCTGTCTTTCTCCTGCGGAGCGGCTGGTGGCTTTGAGCTGCCGGCCTTGTGGTTAGCAGCCCAACTCGTAACCACGAGGTCACCAGGCCTCCTTCAAGTGATGACAGGACATGGTAATTGCTCCTGAAGGGTCTCCTAACAGCATGTGGCTTAACCTCTCTGCCAAGCCAATGTTAGCTCTCATCCCCTCACCCGTTTCTACACTGAGTATCCCAGACTCAACCACATTGCTTTCTTCAGGTTCAAATAACTAGTGTGGAAACAGAAATCTGGTCAAGCATTTGGTTTTAAGCTTCTATGTTTTTATGGATCCTGGTACCTGGCAAAAGAGCCCTACTCATGCTGCTAGGTGCCCTCTGGACTGCTAACTCCAGGCTCAGTGGTTCAAAGCCACCAGCGGTATAGACGCAGAAGCCCTATGTACGGTCACTATTGGTTGGAACAGGCTTGATGGCAGTGCATGGGGTGCATGGTCGATGGGTCTTCCACCTCGTGACAACCTCTTGTACATATCCCGTATCCTTGGCCCATCACATTGTCCTCCATCTCCTTTATGCACACCCGTATCGAGTCTCGGTTCTAAAGCAGGGTTTCACAATCTTAGCATTACTGGCCATTTGGGCTAATTCATTCTTCATGTAGGGGGCTATTATCCTCCCATTCCATTGTGACAACCCAAATGTCTCCAGACACTGCCAAATGCCCCTGAGGGTGAAACTGCCCCTCTCCCACCCCCCATTGAGATCCACTCATTTTAAATGAATGGCCACTTATTAGATCCTCTTTATCTAACTTCAGCATTAAAACACAATCTTCTTTATCTACTTTCATCATTGTGCAGAAAGAGCTCTGGGCCCATGAGAGTAGGACTCAGTTCTATGTGATGCCATCTCTACGCTGTCCTACTTAATACTCACAAACACCTCATACATATCCCACTCCCTCCGCAATCACAACTTATTCAATACCAAGAGAGGGAGAGCGTGATTCATAACACACTGATGTTATCAAACCCAAGAACATTCGAGTAGATATTCACTCATTCACTGCCATCAAGTTGATGCTGACTCGTAGCAACCCTGTAAGACAGAACAGAACTGCCTCTGTGTTTCCCAGACTGCCACTCTTCCCTGGAGGAGGAAACCCCGTCTTTCTCCCTCAGGGTAGACACCGACTGCTGAAATGTATTGACCTGTGCTCCCTTCACTTCCAGTGGATTAAAAGCCTGACCGCTCCTCCTTGGGAACAATCAGCCTTCTCATTGCAGACACCTGCATCTTGAGGCATCTTAGGACATTTGCCCCACCCGCTAAAAGGCACGGAGTCATCAGCACCACAGAGAGGTCAATTGGAGTCAGACGCTTTTGGCGGAAATGCCCCCTTCCCTAATGGCACAGTGAATTAGCATGTTTCCTCAGCTAACTGGTTATAGGCTTTTCCAGAGTCCTGGGGAAGACGACAAAGCTTTCTGGCCCAGTGCGTGGTGGGTGGGTAAATCCTGGCTTAAGATACAGATCCCCCTGAGGGAGCTTAATGAGAGAAGGGGCAGCATTTGACATTCAGAACTTTCCCTCCTGGTCCTTGATTCGAGATGGGGGCTCAAAGGTCTATGTCAATCAGGGCACATTTAAATTCGCACAGGACCTTTGTTAGCCCTGGTCCATTCCCACAGCACCAGAGTGGCTTGGTAACACATATGCTGATGGGCACTCCCCACCCCACCCCCAATCGGCTCTTTCAGATTCTGTTCTAACACAAGCACATAACTCACTCTAACTGTTCCACGACTGTATGTAAGGAGCAACACTGACCAGAACAGTTGAAACTCGCCTTCCAGGAGCATTCCAGTGGAGATGGGAGGGTGTTAATAGACCATGCCCTAAACCAAATAGTTGTGTTAATTGCTAGAGAGAACACTGAAGCTAGTTAAGAATTACCAGTGGGGGTGTGGGGTGGGGGTGTGTGGGGGGGTGAGATTAATTGAAGTGGAAACACCAGGAAAGGACTCACTGAGAAAACAGGAGTTGATCAGAGACTTGAGACTTACAGCTGTGAAGCAAGGGGCCACGGGGCAGGAAGTGGAGCCACGGACTCTGGGTCTTGGAAAGTGGTGGGAGCCAAGGTCAGCTAGAGGCCTGGCCATGTTGACTCTGCCATGCGGCCATCGAGATGTCCTTCTGAGAGCGGTGGGCTTCATGCATCCATCGTAACCGCAGGGAAGCCCCTGGCTGGCAGAGGGTGGGCATAATAAAAGAAATTGGAGGGAGTTCTTTTCTAGGTTATTATACCCTAAATTTTAGGGCCTAAAAGAAAATACGAACATCCTCGGCTGAGACTGAGGACGGAGTGAGAGGAATTGGAGGTTTGAGGGAGGAGCAGAGAGTATGGAGATGTCCTTTGGGAGACAGGAAGTAGTGAAGGGTGAGAGGAACCAGTAGCCCTAAGTGCCCAGGAGATTAAACTATGGTCACTGGCACAGTGGGGTGTGCTCATTGACCAGCACAGGCCAAGGCATGGAACAGGGAGGGAGCTGGGTTTTGCAGGGTTGAGGTTTTGCCAAGTGAGACTACGA